GTACCTAGAAAAGGCTTCTTAGGGGGTTAATAATATTTTTTAAAGGTTGGGAAATACTGGTTTAAATGAACCGTAAGTTTATGTACAACTCTTAAAGTTCCTTACTTCTATCTTCACAACAACAATGCCAAGAATTCAAAAAATGCTAACGATAAGTTCACATACTTTGTTTAAGAAGGCAAGGACAGATTTGTACATTTTAGAAAGATCTCCAAATAAAACAGTTAAAACCTGTAAATGCCACTGTATTTAAAAGAGAAAATCCTCTCAATACATAGAGACCCCAGCTGTCAACCATGAAGGGACCCTGTGAGCCACAGTTTTGTTGAATTTTCCCTGTTTTATAGATAACAGTTTACCCAAATCATGTGGTATTTTGTTACAGCAGCCTGAACGAACTAAGACACTAACGAAGAAAGTTACATATTCTCATAGTTTCATCTAGTAAGAAATATTTAGAGTATCTATACTGCATTCAATAAATCAGATAATCAACTAGTTTATAATTAATGTACATAGAAACTGCTTGAAATGACTATAGACAAACGATTGACAGTGACTCAGCCTTCTGCTATTCTCACCAGTATCACAAAACAGACTAAGGGCAGTGGGTTTCTAAGGAAGACATCAAAAGATAGAGCACATGCCCGACTGGTGTAGCTCAGTGGGTGAGCGTCGACCCATGAACCAGGATCTTTGTCCTCATAGTAATCATACACTTAGATATGATCTCCACTTTAGAACCAAAGAAAGTGTCTCAGTCATTTAAAATAATAAGCTCAAGGGTGGTAAGTCACACAGATAGGAAATGAATATACTGGGATTTAATCAAGAATGGCAGGTACCATAGTGAGTTTACCTTCCGCTCTGCCTGTACAAACCGAGGATTGCCTTAAAGAGGCAAGGCAAAATATGGCTTCTGGAGGGTAAGGGCAAAGAGAAAAATGCATAGCAATTAATTATCTATAAGATAATATTTAAAACATAAAGTTATATTACCTCATTTCCTTTACAATATTTCACCACCAATCACTACATGTGTATATATGTATATATGAAAGTATGTGTGTGTATACACACGTATGCCTATAGTACTACAATTGTGCGCGCACATACACACACACACACACACACACACACACAAACAGGCACTCCAGGATTAAAATAACTTTTCAGACCCAAAAAGGCACCTACACTCCAAAAGTTACTATGAAGGTATTTTATCTATTGTTAACTCAGTACTAAAAAAAAAAAATTTGTTAATTGGCATTAAGAGATGTAAAAGAAAAAATATCACAGGTTAAGAGTAGTGGCCAAAATACATCAATTAGGTTAAAATGTTAGAGACAGGCCTATTGTATATAGAATCCAAAATATCAGGAGCTAGTTGTGTTTCAGAATTGAAACTTTTTTGCACATTAGAAATCTATTATGAATGTATCTATATGACTTATTACCTCTAAGTAGGATGAGAAGCAGCAAACACATTAATATGTCTGCACTTAGGAACAAGGCTATTCACACCAAGAAGGATAAATAAAGACAATAATAAATGGTTTCCTGTCAAGCCAAAGCTTTCTGATATCTCAGCATATTGGATTTTGGCACTGCAGATAAGGGACTATGGACCTGCAACTGTGAGTGGCCAAGTTACTTAAGCCAATTGCAATTCACAGAAAACATTTCCTTTGAAAGCTGATATTAAACTTCACATATTATCCCACAATCACAATATTCCACTGGCAAGTATAATAACCTTCACCCCTCCAACACTTGGCTACCAATGGTATATGTTCAGAATTGAGTGGAATCTAATGAGCAAAATATACTGACCAACAAAATAGGTCCAGAGGCATGGAAGCATGGAACAAACTGACATATCTCAGAGGAGTGGGCAAGGGATGGGAAGAAATTAGCCAAAGAACTTAAATACGTATGTGTATACACAGCCCATGGACACAGGCAATAGTGTGGTGAGGGCCTGGGGGGTGGTAGGAGTTGGGTGGAGGGAGGCAAAGGAGGGGAAAATGGGGGACATCTGTAATACTGTCAACAATAAAATATTTTTTTATATTTATAAAACAAACAACAAAAGAATACAGCTGGGAGGCAGGAGGTGGGCCATGGTGCAAGGCCTCCCAGCGGTCATTGCAATGGCCACATACTAGGGAGTGTTACATTATTCACAGCAGAAGCCCCATATCTTTAATCAGATCTGGCTTCTCAACTCAACACAGGTAAGAACCAGTAAGTGGAATCACACGGAGCAGTCACCAGCAATAGCTGGCATTCTGACAGCAAAGAAGAAAGGTAAAGAAGGTAAGAGCCTTGCTACCTAGACAAAAAGTCTTGGATTCCAATCTCGGCTCTGTCTGTATGAGCTGGGTGACCTTAGGCAGTCCTGAACTTCTCTCTGCTCCAGTTTCATCAGCGACATAGTGTTGAGGAAAACACTGCCTGTCTCCTGTGGCTGTTGTGAGGATTAAATGAAATAATGCCTGTGAAGAGTATAGCACAGTGCCTGACAATGAGAAGATACTCAATACAATTTACACAGTAAAAATAAAGCACAAAACTCACAAAGCATAGCAGCCTGAATAAACTTACTACCAATTCTTCAGAACTCGAAAGTGATCATAATTTCGTATAGAGAAATCTCATCTTACCTATGCTACGAAACCTTAAACTTGCCATTGAAACTTCTCGGAGCCTTGTAGCACCGATTAGACCATGCATTCTTAAGGGAGGCGGTAAGTGGTTCTTTGGCAGGGTAAGGTGGACAGCAGTGGGGGGAAGAAATGACTCTTTTTATGTATAAAGCATAACTATAAAGTACAAAAACAGACACACAGTATAACCATGGTATTAAAATTTCATGAGGAAAGGTACTTTAAAAGGCTTCTTAGAGGGTTAATAATAATTTTTAAAAGGTTGAGAAATACTGATTTAAATGAACCGTAAGTTTACATGCAGCTCTTAACCATCCTTAATCCTATCTTTACAACAATAATGCCAAGAATTCAAAAAAATGTTTACTATAAGTTCACGCACTTTGTTTAAGAAGGTTAGGACAGATTTGCATATTTTAGAAAGATCTCCGATTAAAACAGTTAAAAATTGTAAATGTCACTGTATTTAAAAGAGAAAATCCTCTCAAATCAAAGAAACCCTAGCTGTCACTCATGAAGGGACTGCCACAGTTGTGTTGGATTTTCCCTACTTTATAGATGACAGTTTACCCAAATCATGTCTAGATATGAATATACTTAGTTTTTTCCCTCAAAATGGGGAAAGAAACTAGAATAAGGACAACTATTTGTAACCACCATGAAGTTGGAACACTGTGGCTGTCTTCGCTATGATAAATGAAAGATCACCTTGGAATATAATTCATTTTTAATTGCCTCTTCCATCTAATCTAACTACTGCTGGAGTCTGTCATAAAATATTTACAAAGTAAAAGCAAAAATAAAGAATTGGGGGTGCTAAATAAAGCAGGCCACACATTTCTACGTGATCAAGTTTTGGGGCATTGTTTACAACAAAAACAAAGTCATAACTTATATGTGAATTTTGGGAAACAGATAAAGTATGATTAAGGACTCTCTTAGTGTTACAGCTGTCTTTTTAAAACAAACATGATTGACATACAACCTTGTATTAGTTTTAGGTATACAACATAATGATTTATGTATTTATTGTAGTGTGATTAGCATCGATCACCACAGTTACAATTTTTCTTGTAATGAGAACTTTTAAGATCTACCCTTTCACAGCAACTTTCAAATATACAATACAGTATTGTTAACTATAGTCACCATGATGCACACTACATTCGTTTTATAACTGTAAGTTTGTATCTTAAATCTGTTTTTAATTCACCTGCTTCCCAGCCTTGGATTCAAATCCTTTCTACACCCAAATACCTTGTTACAACAACAACAAAAAACAGTTGTATAAAACGCTAGAAAGATCAATGTTATAGCTATTTTCTGCTTTAACCACTTATGAAGTTTTGTATTTGCAACCCCAGTCTTATTTCCTCCAGAATCCTAGGTTTTTCATGCTCATATACCACCCTCTTAATTTTGAGTTTTCCAAAACTTCACTTTAGAAGTTGTAACTAAAAATGGCATTCTAAAATTGTATAAAACATCTTCATGTAAAACTGTTATTAAATGCTTGACCATACTTTATTACCAGTAATACACATCAAAAAGTGTTCTAATATTATCCATTTTATTCACAGAAAAACAAATGTGTTATGATATCTTTGATAGCTTTCAGGCAGCTGCATTTGCATATGTAAAGATGTGTGTGAAACCAAATTCCCTTAGGCAAGGTGCTTCCTGCAGAATGCTGAAGGTAAACACATTTTGACTGATGGTGAATATAAATATGCTCTCTTAAACAGATGCTAACCACTGTTTATAGGTCCTCAAATCCTAGGTCTTCAAGTGACAGAAAAATCTCTCTTATAAACCCACATGCTATTTTAGACTGTTCCAAACATACTGACTAGACAGAGTAATAATATATATATATATATATGTATTAGTTAAGCCCTGAATACACACAGAATAGTTCAGGAGTCTAGAGTTGGATCCATGTGTTCTCAGCCTCAACTGAGGCAATCCGGTCAAACAGTCCACTATTTTAATGATCATTAGGATTACTATCATCCTAATGAAGCTGTGCATACCTGAGTATTCCTTAGCATCACGCAGCTACAAGATTTACTCTAGGTAACACCAAGGAGACCAAAAAAAAAAAAATCAGAACACATAAATAATCACTGGCAAGGTTTAGACTTATTTAAGGAAAATCTCCATGTACTAAGTCAAGGAATGATAACACTCAGAATAGCATAAAAAAATTTTAATCACAATAAAATGTACTTCTAGTAGTCACACATTTTGACATGTTTCCATGAGAAAGCCAAAGCCATCAAATTCTCAACCTGACAAGACACCGTTACCTGCCAGGGCTTCAGCGTTTACCTTTGTTTGAGATTGATCCACGATGCTTTCAGATACTCGGTGGTTTCCTTCACATTCCTCGTGTCATCGCTACCATAATCCCCCAGCAGCTTCTGCAGGATGTTATCAAATGCCATCACGATCCCGTCTCCAGGACCCAGTTCTTGAAGCAGTATCTAAGGTGCAATTTCAGGTGCCATTGTTAGACTTGGTCACTCAGTAACCAGTATTGCCAAAACATTGTTCCTCCCAGCAGGTTTTAATATGTTTTAGACACAGATATCAAAAGGAGAAAACAAATTATTGGACAAACTCTTGCATGTAAGTTTAAACCAAAATAATTACAGACGTGAAAAGAAAAATAACTAAGAAAGTGATCAGGTACATAGCAGATGACATTAAACAAATGATTGTCTCTTCCTCTTTTAGATATTTTATTTCCTAAAAACAATGTCTTTTTTCATTCCTTCTGCTATACATATGATCCTTATAGGAACACGCACTGATTAGGAATGAATTGACTATAGAGTTCCCTTATATGTATGTATAGCAATGGAAAGGGCCAACAATACAGAAGTCTTCTGTCTCCTGCCCCTCGATCACTGTGTATGTTTATAGATAACTGCTTGAGTGGATCAAGCAGCCAGGCAAGGTTCACTGGGAATTGCTTGAATAGCTACACCGAGGCTATGTCCATTGGCATATCAATTCCTTGACACACTTTTTCAGTCTCTGAGAGTCCCTGGATCAAGATACTCCTCATGAAATCTAAAGGACAAATGACATTTCCTATAGTTTTTTGTAGCTATTGATAGAAAAGTCAACCCTAAAGTTTCAGAAGGAAATGACCATACTGCTAATTATAGAAGAACATTCTACATATGATGATTAAAGCATTGATACCACTTTGAATTGCATTCCTTTAGTGAAGTTTCAGGGGCTCTGCTGATATTACTTTTGATTCACTTGGTAAAAACAATTAGCAGATATCATAAACACAGGGAATTATCCAGGAAATCAGGACACCTGGCCACTTGATTTTATACTGTAACCACAGAAAGTCCATATGTATGAAGAATGAAAATATACTTTCATGATTTAGATTTAGATTCCCACATATCCATTATTATATTCTTCACAAATGTACACTTTTATCTTAGGCTATCTGAAGGACAAATAAATGTTACACTAAAATATAAACCGACAACCATAACCTCTAATTCAAGAATATTTTCTATGATTGCGGACAAAATTTAAAATAGTGCCATACATGTTCAATATCATCAACTCTATTAACCAAACTGATCACAGAAGGTACCTGCTCTGATGACGTTGATAAATCAGTTTGTTATAAAGGTACTGAAAGAAACTAAACTTATTACCTGATTTGTTCCCTACAGTAGCCCTCAAATGAAAGTCTCAAGAAATTTCCTAAATAGAAATAACCTTCAGGGTAGACATGAAGGGAACAAAAGAAGGTTCTTGGGATCCTGAAAATGTTCCTTCTAGTGGCCGATTTGTGGGTGTGTTCCATTTGCAAGGAGTCAGTGAGCTGTGAATCTAAGATATATGTACATTTCCCTTTGTTATGCCTCCAAGAATTTTTCAGAATCCTTCCTGGTCAAATGCTTTATATTAATTTCAATGTGTATTCTAAGAACTTGGGGAAACATCATGACAAGAAACCTTAAAATTACAGAACCAAAAAAACACACACAACCAACAAATCAATATCGCCAAAAGATATCTAATGGGTCTTACTTGATTATCAGAAATTTGTTTGATAAGTGGTTCCCTTCGGGCCTGTTGAAGAATATAGAGTCGAGCCTCATATTTTCTCATAAGTTCTTCAGTCTCTTCTCTGTGGTCATCCCACTGTAGGCTGTCAATCACCATGTCCTCCAGCTGCTGCTGCCGCAACTCTACACCATGCTGAGTGCTATCCCACTGGTTCCTGACCTTCTCCACTACAGGAAACATTACAAAAAAGAATTCCTGAAAGTGACTCTCAGGAAAGGGGAAAAGTATCTGATACCAAATTTGTTACAAACGAAGCTATCAATAGAAAAGAGAAAAGAGGCAAGTCGACACACATTTTAAAGAAACGTCAGTCTGTCATACTATACAATTGATATATTTCGGAAACCATTTTTGAGGAAAAGTTCTTATATTAAACTCTATTAAATTTTATATTTTTACTGTTCCAACTGCTGGCCTCACTTTTATTTCTTTTCTTTTTTGGATATATGTGCAGTTTTTTATATATTTTAATTTATCTTTATTGTTGAGAGTATTAAAGATGTCCCCCATTTTCCCCCCATGACCCCTCTTCACCAGGCTCCTGCCCCATCCCAGGCCTCACCACACTATTGCCTGTGGCCATGGGTTACGCATATATGCATACAAGTCATACAAGTTCTTTGGTTAATATATATTTTAAATGCACTAAAATACCTCACAATAAAAAATATCTACTACTGTGAACTGGTAAAGCGAAAAATTCTAAGAAAAATAATTTTCTATCTTGTTTTATATTTACAGGACCTGGTTTAGAAAGGTATTAATAGCACTTTGTGACAGAACTTTAAGACACAGACATAGTCACTTGTCATCCTCAAAGGAGATGCTCTAAGGTAATCTTGATTTGAAAAGAAAACTCCTTACGAATACTTTCACATTTGTTTTACTGTAGCATTAAATCTCTCTAAAAGGAAGTATTTTTCTATGTTGAAGTTCAAGAGAAACACTAAAAGTAAAGTAAATTCAAGTTCTGTGTCCCCAGCAGCCCTTTATCATAAAAAAAAACAAACCAACAAACAACAGCCCATAAATATTGGCTCTTGTCTGCTCGTTTTTATTGTTTTTTATCTTTCTCTTTCTTTCATTCTCAGTCTCTTTCTCTCCTTCCCTTCCTTCTTTCCTCTTCTCATTTTTAAGATGAAGTTAAGAAAGATCTAAGGAAACAAACTTCTGATTAACGACTTCGAGGGCAGTTAATGATCTTCAACTAAAGTACCAGTAAGCAATAGCTTTCAATATCTTCAACAACCCATTGATAATAGGTAGAAAGTTAAAAACAAACTTCTAGAAGTTATTTTGAATGTCAAACAGACTAAAGGGCTATAATTAAGTACCAGGCCAAGAAGAACTTAATTACAATATAACATTTCTTCTGGTAAAATTCTTGGGATAATACAGGCTATATAAAGCTATCAATCCAATAATATTGTTCAGAAACCTGCAAATTACACTTACATGTATTAATTCTAAAAAACTGTGTCAATGAGATGATTTGTTTTATACTGTCTGAATAAAAGCTTAAATAAATTTCTTAAGATTGTAACTTAAGGAGAAGACAAATCTATCATAATGTTCTGCTTGTCAGTTAAAGAATTACATACAATAGTTTTGACCAATTCTACTACAAACAGAATCCTGAAATATTGAACAAATAAAACTAAAGACATCAATCGACTGAAAATATCACCAGTTTATCATAAAAATAAGCAAACGATCCTATTATTTGTGAATAAGAGCAAAAAGCAGGTTACTTTTTATAGTAGAAGCTGAGGATGGCTTCTCATATAATAAATAATGATAAACACTATGCAGTCTCTACATAAGAAAATGGAGAGAAAACAGAGAGAGAGAGTTAAATTGGAAAGGGAAGATATTTGGGAGAAGGAAAGAAACTTTGGACAAATACAGAGGTGGTGGGGAAAAGGAAAAAAAATAAACGTAAGATGGTAGAAAAGGCAAAATGGAGATGGATTTGCAAAGAGTTTGGTGTCATTAAACCAGAGAAGCTCCCCTGCCAGCGATGGGAAGTGGGGTCCCTCTGGATCTCCATAGGCATAGCAATCCATCAGTTCAGAAAAGGAAGGAAAAATGGCTGAATCAGTAAAAATAAAGCAACACTTTGAGACAGTAAAAGCTCTTTGCTAACTCATCTCTTGCTGTCACACATTTATTTTGAAATCAAAGTGCTTTTATAGGAGAAATAGTCGAATTTCTCCCCTCGAGAAATAGTAAACAAGGTGATAAAATACATTCCAGTTTATATTCTGTCACAAAGTAAGTCCATTGCTTGCATGGAACACAGTGGGAGGCCCCAGAAAGGTGACTATTCACAATCTGTGGCGGAGAGAAATTTCAGTAATTGTGAGATTCACAATGAAGTTATGGGGGCAAAGATCTAAAGATAGGACTAAAGATAGAAAACACCAGGGACCAGAACAGGGTGGGAAAGACTTTTTAGAGGGCGTGACATTTTATTAGCTGAGTAGAATTTCACCTGAGGGGAAAAAATATGCGAATAAAGGTAAGGAGAATAAGAGCTGTCCGGAAGTTTTAAAGAACATGTACAGTACAAAACAGCTACAGATGGGCCAAGGGCTGTAGTGGAAGGGGGTGATAAAAGCAGGCTATGACCGCCCCTAAAGTGTGTTTTGATTTCAAAATAAATGTGGCAACAAGGTTATTACAACAGATGAGTTAGCAGAGCCTTTAGTGTCTCATGAAGTGGGGTTACTTTTCCTGAATTCACCATTTTACTTCTTTCTCCCTCCTTTTATTATTAGATTGTTTTTGTCTTCCCATTCTTGAGAATTTAGACTTTGTTTGATATGACATACAGATGCTTTTAAGCCAGATATTAAACTCGAAACAAAAATTGTGGCTGTGGTTATTTTGTTTGCTTATTTTTTTATTTTGCTTTATTTTGTCTTTAGCTAAGGTGTTCCCAAATTACTGCCAGCTACAGAGGTACAGAGTAGTTGCTCAATAAATATTTTTAGACTGAATTTTGAGAACCTGAATTAAAAGATATGCTAAGATTTAGTTTTAGTGAATGAATTACAATGAAAGAATGGGTTCGCATTCCTGTGGCTTTCTCTAATTTTTGTTTTCTTGGTTCCTTCAAAAGGAATAATAACTTAACAGCAAATAATTCAATGAATCAGTAACTACTTAAACATAATAAAATTAATACTTGGAGGAATTCAAAAGGGAATTCTGACTGTTCACAAAAGATAAAAAAACACAAGGGAAAACTGTATTTATTAATAGGTAAAGAGAATCAAATAATATTAATTTCTCATTGTATAATCTTTGAAAAGGTGTATATGTGTGTAAATCATTTTCAGTGAAAGTAGATGATGACATGTAATTTTTTTGGACTTACATTTTTCTGTTATTGCTGTTCTCACATCTAAGCTGGAAGCTTTATTTTTCAAATTTTGAGCCAGTGTAAAAACATAATCAAGCTGAGGATGGCGCTGTTCCAAGTCCGCCTTTGTGATCTGGTTAAGAAGAAATGATTTTTAAGATAGGCTAATAATCTATTTGCCAAGAACACTAAGGAGCAAAGCTGGTGTGCTGACATCAAAGTTGTTTGTCTCCTATACAGGACAGTGAGGCATCTGAGATGTGGCACAGTAAGTCCTAGGTTCAAATCTCAGCTCTGCCACTTACCATCTAGGTAGCCAGGCACTTCATCTCTCTGTTTTTGTCTTCACAAAAAGAAATAATAAAATACTGACAGCTCAGCTATATCAGGTCTGAGGAGATTAAATGTAAGAAGTCCCTTTAAAAACTAAAAACTGTTCTGAAAACATTAGCAGTGATTTCTGCAGATGATACCTTGCATACCAGGCCTACATCAGATACGAACACAAACTAATGTCACCTACAGGGATGGCAGTGAGGTATTAGGAAAATGCTATTTGGAATAACTGTAAATTAAATAATTTTAGACACAAAAAACTGTTGCTCTACAGTTATCTCTTAGTACTGATAACAATGGGAGAAAAGTTAATGTCAGAAAATGGTGTGTTTTAAATATAGAACTAAGAGCCATAAAGACTATTTCCAATAGGTACAAATGGTATGGCAAAGATTCTCTCCCAGCTCTTCCTCTTAAGGAATTCACTAGTCTTCCAATTACTCCTACAGTGTCAAATGTGATTCCTAAATGGATTATTCACAACTTCCAATCCTGAGTCCAGAGAGACATTTCAATGAATGCTGATCATTTCTTTCTAAATGGCATAAGAACCTCTCAACACAACATACTCAAAACTGAATCAATCAAACCCTCATCTACATTTCACTTCTGCTATTCTGAATCTCTGCTAATTGCAACAGCATGGTCTTAGCAGCCCCGAAAGGCTCTTTTTTTTTTTTTTTTTTTGTATTAAGCATCTCTTGCACTATTCCCATTCTTCCTGCTAAAATAGATCATTGTTATCATCAGTCTCCAGGCACAATTTTAAAAAAGAAAAGGAATAAAAACACGTGCCCATTGCTTACAGATGAAAAGGGTTCTGCATGGCCTGCAAGCTCCGTCAGAGTGAACTGGAGCTGCCCTTGCTATCTCACTTCCCACTGCATTTCTTCGCTGCACAAATGTTGACCCCATGTCCCTCACCCTCCAAGCTCCCCCACCTCATGCCTTTGTTCACTCTGCTCCCCAGACCAAGAATGCCATTTACTTGTCTCTAGATGAGAAAATCCCACATGGTCTGCCTTCCGTTACTGTGGCAGTAACTCTCTTCTTCACCTGGGCTCCCCTATCAGGTCACATGTACCTGCCTGTGCCTGTTATTACACGCTGCTCTGCATAGAGACTGTTCACTTGTACACATTCAGTGCCTCCATCACAGTCGGGGCATATTTGTAATCTGGGATAAATTTGGTAACTATTTCAATAGATAGTTAAGGAAGTAAACATGTAAATTACTTACAAAAGTGTCCAACACACATTAAGTACTTAATAACAGTTAGCGATCACTGTTATTTAATGGTTCATTCCCAATCTGTATTTAGTGTATTCTTTTCCGTATCTCTATACAGCACACAAGCCCAGAACCTAGCACACACTGAATATGGAAAAAGAACTTTACGAATTGGCGTGACATGGTGTGTTTGTGTATATATATATAAAATTATGGTCAGGCATTCTCACTGCTACTGTCAGCAATTAAACAAATAAGCTCATTATAAAGCATAAGTTGAAAAGGCACTTCAGGAAATTATACTACATCACACTAGACATTAACTGTAACGCTAGTTTATATTTGTACTGATGGGACTAGATTTACAATCTCCGTTTCAGATGTTAAAATATACACTGAGTCTACAACTCAAGTTGGTAAAGGTGATCTTACCAAAACCGCATAAATGCAAGAAAATCTAGATTCTTCAGAGCTAGCCTGGGATGGCTGTTTGGCAGATAAAGAAGTTCTTAAAGCTCACTCTCCCAGAGTTCAGGACAAACAAAAGGGAGCCAAACAGATCATGTCTACCCGTGTGCTGAGGTGTTGCCATGACAAGCCTGTACCCTGTGCACCTACTTTCATTCTGGAAATCGTCTTATTGATCTCTTCCACATCCCCAACAGTGACAATGTTGGACTTCAGCATCTGGTCGATCAATACCAGCCAGTCAGCTAGTTCTGTTATTGTTTTATCCAGATCAGCAGGGATTGAAATTTCTGAAGTATGAGGAGACTGGGCAGGAGGTTCTGATGCAGAGGATACTAGCACCATCTTTACGGCACCAGGATGAGCTGAAATAAAAAATGTAGCAAAGTACCACCGAATCAATAGGATGTTCTGACTGTGGTGGGGCAATGGTGACAAGCGTCTGTGTGCTTATGTAAAATTTAGATTAGGTTTAAAAATGGTGAGAGTTTCTATTTCTTCATATGGAAGTGGCAATGGTATTTCCAGCAGTATCTATGTCTTTGGTGGTGGTAAAGCCAATTAAACACCCAGTTACACAATATTCTAGGGCAGCAATAACTCAGAAGTAACTAACACTGACACCAAGAGAAGATAAAGTGAAAAATCCACCAACTGTGAGAAAATTAGCACTGATATTTTATTTTGTCAAGAGGTTTGCCTTAATTATAAAGCCAATGTATTCATAGTTTCTGTTGTTCAGAGGGCTTGCAAGGCACTTAACTTTACAACATGAGCATTAGCAATTCTTCATCCACATCATTGTGAATACCTAAGAATATATATGTATTCACTACCTGTTACTTAACTCTTTGCCTACTGATGGATATTTAGATGGCTCCTTACATTTCACTTTAAAAAAGAACTCGCAAGGAATGTCTTTTTTGTGTAGAGTATTTTGCATATTTCTGATGAACACTTTGGTATTGATTTGCTAAAGTAGAATGACTGGATCAGAAAATATGAAAAAATTAATGTATTTAATATTTATTAGCCAATTTTTCCTTAAAATTTGAAAACTGAGACTTGCAACAGCAACGTGTGGAGTCCGCATGAAGGATCCACACCAACGATACTCTGTCTCAATGGATGAACACACAGTGTGCTCACTTACTGGTTTTTTATTATCTGAGAGCAAACATTTTTTGTTTGTTAACCAAATATAGTATAATTTATAACTGTGGTCTTTATCTGCTTCCTTTTCAATTTGCAAGAACTCATTTTTATAGGAAAGATGAATCTTGCCATATTGCTGAAAACACTGTTTCTACTTTAGGATTTTTAATGTGTGTTTTCTTTTTAACATATAGATGTTATCAAATTTGGGTGATCAGATCCATAAATCTGTCCTGGGAGATTGTTTTTCCAGAACTTTCAGTTAGAGATTCTTGTCTTCTTCAAAACTTGGATACATATTTTTCTCTCTTGGTTGTTTGTGTTTGTCTTTTGTTTTTAATGATGGAGGGTTGGTTGTTTTTCTTTAGCTTTATACAAGGTAGCTGAATTATTAGGCCCATCTGGAGCCCACTTTAGCATACGGTATATTAGATAAGGCTTAAATAATCTTCTAAAACATAGAGTCAATCCATAAATTCAGCACAATTTAAAAGCCCCAACATGTTTGCATATATCTTGACAAAATCATATATTGAAATTTCCTATTTCTAAAATTAATACAGTAAAGGGTCAAGAACAGTCAAGAGAGCAGGGCATGGTGTAATAGCTATGGAGCCATTACCTGCACTCTGATCGGGGCAAGGAGAGAAGGAAATAGTTAGAAAACTTTTTTCCTCCACACCTAAGTGATCATCAGCATCTATCAGTAAAGAGCCTCCCTGGGATGGAGAACCCTACTAAAACCCCATCTCCCACCTGGTTCCAGGATACCTAATCCTTTGTTCTCAGTCATGATCTGCATGCAGTTACACCCCACACAGGGCATGTTGCGTAATGGCTATAGCTGACTTTCTGAAAAACCGCATGTCCTCAGTTTCCCCACCTTGTCTCTTCCCTTCCCTTCCCAGGCTCTCTTGGGGACCAGGTCCCGTTCTGGCCCCAGGAAAGGCAAAAATTTTATCTCTCATGCGTGCCTTGCAGTCAAGTATGTGTTGGGTTTAAAGAAGATGTTCCTTTCAAATAACTGAAAATAGAATAACAAATCACAACTGCGTTGTGTTTTCCAGTTTAAAGTTTTCTCTAATTCATATATGATGCTCGCAGTCCTAATATTTGGCTATTTTTATAAAAAATGGTTAAGGAATAAACTGTATCTTACCAGCAGTTCTTGTCTGAGAAACAGAACAGGGCTCCGGATCACTTTCCTTCAGTGCACTGGGCACGTCTCTGCATATCTACAGCATCCGGCCAAATGGAAAGAGAAGAGTACCATATAAATAAAGATGATTATGTTTCCCAAAGGGAAAGTGTCTTTCTACATGATAGCTTTGCTATCCACTGCAGCCTTGCTTAAGTCCCTACTCCACCAACAATACTATCAAGAATGCCATCCAGCCCAGCCATTGTGGCTCAGCGGTTGAGCATCGACATAAGAATCAGAAGATCATGGTTCCGTTCCCAGTCAGGGCACATGCCCTGGTCTCAGGCTCAATCCCCAGTAGGGGGCGTGCAGGAGTCAGCCGATCAATGATTCTCTTTCACCACTGATGCTTCTATCTCTCTCTATCTCTCCCTTCCTCTCTGAAATCAATAAAAATATATACTTTTTAAAAAAGAACGCCATCCAGTCCTTAGCTGCCCTGGGCCTTTGAAACATTTAATGCTGTCACTTCCCCTCCTTGAACTCTGAATAGTCTGTACTCCTGATTTTCCTCCCACCTCTCTCTGACCTTCTAAGTGTCCTTCACCAGCTCATTCTCCTCTGCCCATCCATCAAATGCTAACATTCTAAAGGGTAGGGGTTTTAGTCTTTCTACCATTGACTCAGGCTTCTCTCCCTGGGTCCTGGTTTCTAATGGTTACATCTACCATACAGAGTTAAAGATGCCAAGGACTCCCAAAATATATCTTCAGTCTGGCTCCCTCTGGCAACTGGATATTCAGACATGTCCAAATCTGAAGTCACCATGTGTCTCCCTGAAGCCCCCTTGACAAAGCTAATGACTAATTGATCTTTCCAGATCAGTTATCCTGATCTGATCGTAGGTTTTGCTAAGAGGAGTTATTTGACTTCCTGATATCCTAAGGACATCCATCCTAGGATCACTTCATCTCTATAGTTCAACTATAGTGAGCTTTCAAAAGGTAACGTTCTCCTGCTTAACCACCTTCAATAGCTGCCCACTGCTCTCAAAGTGATGAACTGTTCTCAAGACACAGCTTAAATTCTTTGTGATGCATGGTGCGGCCTCCAGGATCTGATGTTTGCAAGCATCACTCATTCTTCACTTCATACTGAGTGACTTCCAGGACCCAAATGCATTGTGCTCATTCTCTATCTCTTCTAGACCATGTCACTTGCTGCTGCTCTCTCTGCAATGCCCTTTCCCCCATTATTCATCTGTCTAATTCTTATTCATCCTTTACAAATTAGCTTGGAAATTATCACCTCCAAAAAACCATCCACAGTTACCCCCTAAGGCCAGGTCATATGCCTTACTTTTATATCCCCATGGATCCCTCTATGTTATAATTGCTTAGCAACTTGCTTCCCCACAATAAACTCTTTGGATTAGAAGGAGTGATATACTCTTTGCTGCATTAAAATGGTGACTGGCATAAAGTGAGAGTCCAGTTAAAACCTATTCAGTGAGTGAATGACTGCATGAATGAATGAAATATCCCAGAATAGTATTTCCCAAAGTGTGTTTGCTGGAATTCTCTGCACAGTCAGCACTGCTTGTTCTTGGACATTCATAATTCACCTACGTACAGTAAAATCGGTGAAGTTCTAGGATAAAGTTACTTAGAAAGGTGCCACAATGATTCTTAACGCGCACCTTATTCCACGTCGAATTTACAGTTCTTAAGCTTTCTGAAATCTTTTCTCTTTCATGTAAACTCAGACTTTTATCTGAAAGCATGTCCAATTCAGTTCTATTCAGCCATTTGAGTTTCTCGGCTTGTATGTCCATCTCCTGGTTTAAGTCCTAAAGGTGTCAGAAGAGAGGTATGATTAGAAGGCTGTCATACTAGAGAAAGTTCAAGAACTGTATTAGAAACTAACATACTTTGGGTATTTTACAGATGTGAATTTTTAATTTCTTAAGTAGACAATAAACTTATAAGAAGCTTGAACATATGTTAACAAATTGTAATTGATATGGGAATGACCACTCACCTGCAATGTGTACTTGGGTGCTCCCACCCACCACCCTGTCTTATAAGAGGGCCATATCCTCTCATAGCTACACTGATAACTTAACATTCTGCTCTTGGATGATGAAAATGATGTCTGTTCCAATGAAAGGTCAAAACAAAATAAAAAGCCAGCAGGAGCCTTGTATGCACCTCTCTCTACCTCCTCTCTATCGACCCTATTGTCCTGTCCAGCCCTTTACGACGGCCCCCAAATTATTTACAGAAGGGATATTCCAAGAAAATGAATGAAATTTGTAGTTAAAACAGGAACAAGTTTGTTAGCTATTCGATGTCACATTTTGAAAAATAAACTTAACAGTTGTTTCCAACATATTTTTTGTTGTTACTAATAGTTTCCCAAAATGCCTCAATCTTACTCCTTTAGACAAAATCTCTTCAAATTAGTGGGCATCCTTTTAGGTATACTTTGATGCATGCCTGTGTGTTCATCCACATACACCCAATTTCTTCTTTTTTAAAATAAAAATATGAACACAGTATGCTTATGTCTCTACAATAAGTCAATTCTTAACACAAAAAAATATAAAATTTATGGTTATTTAAGTATACTTATTTATATATCTTTATGTATTTTATGTGTAGTATAAATAAACAACTATAAACAATCCTTGTAGGTTGTAGATAAACAGAAAAAAATTTTATTTATACAACCATGACATTGAGTCTAGAGCAGCCGTGGGCAAACTACGGCCCACGGGCCGGATCCGGCCCGTTTGAAATGAATAAAACTAAAAAAAAAAAAAAAAAGACCGTACCCTTTTATGTAATGATGTTTACTTTGAATTTATATTAGTTCACACAAACACTCCATCCATGCTTCTGTTCCGGCCCTCCGGTCCAGTTTAAGAACCCATGTGGCCCTCGAGTCAGAAAGTTTGCCCACCCCTGGACTAGAGTAACCCGCTGTGAGTTACTATCAAGTCACTTAGAGTTTTGTTTCTACAAAACTCAATTTTATAGCTAGTAATTAGCAATTATTTTCTAACTCTGAAAGCAAAAACTTTACTTCAAAGCAATAATTTATTCTACAACGATAATGTCTGTTTAAGATATCCTAAAAACCTTAGGTCTAATACTGAGACCACAGGACTTATCATTATTATGAGGGACGCCTTACCTCTGCAAGAACAAAATACAGCTGCTCTTTAGAAGAAAAGACAAAGATAGTCCTCTTTAAAGTTCACCACTTATACCACAAAGTACAAAGTTCCTTACCCTTTTCTTCTTCTAATATTTTATCTTATTTTTAGTGTAATTGTTCATGCATCAAAAAAGTATTGGCAAATGTAGAGACAAGCCACTTACTGTTAATTCTTTCCGGTTTTCTTCCAGCTCGGTGGTGGATCTCTTTTGCACAGCATTCTCGGCTTTTGTTAACCAATAGATAATCTCATCTAGTCTCTTTCTATATTCCATCACTTGCTTGCTTTCTCCTTTTAGCCTAAAAGAATATATTATTGAAAAATATTGAGGAAAAAATATCCAATTAAGCAGAACATCACACATTTACTTTGCATATCTACACTAAATAAACCGCAAATGAAATAACTCCTGATAATTATTTTAATACGTTTTAATGTGTCAATAATAATGTATACATTATGCAATACCAAAGATTATTTGACAATGTAAGACGAATTCTTTCTTCATTAAATTCAAAAACATTGAAATTAAAGACTGTTATTTTCTCTCATCATGAAAATTATATTGAAATTTTTTAAGCTAGATACCACTGTTCAGCATAATGGACTTTTTAAAAACCATGAAAAGTGTCTTGATCTAAAATTATAGGAAAAAGCACATAATTACTCCGTAGAGACAGAAAGACTTCATTATATGACATATTATTCACATTAGGTGGTAACTATTATCCCACTTTATTCACAGGAAAGAAAAAATAGATACTGAGAATGGAATTTTTTTACAAGTATTAGAAAATGGAAATTTAGTTGGTTCATTAAAATAAAACTGATATTTAAATATAGCCAAGTCATAAAAGAGATCTAGAAAATAAAGTTTTAAAGGACATAAGGACACAAATAGGCATTATGAATATAAAAAAAGGAACTGCCTTAATTAGATCATTTAAATATAAGAATAGCATTTATAAGTATATAAACCATGTGTCAGAAAATGAGAATAAGATTAGAACCCATATGACAAACAAGATTATTTATTTTTAAGAATGGGTTTGAAAGCTATTTAGAGCTTGAGGGTGGTACCATTATTTTTATAGTTGATGATTTAAAAATAGAATGCATAATAAATTATATTGTATTGTTTATATTTTTATGGCTATAATTTTGTCTTTTCAACCACAAAAGAAAAACATAATGTTTTATATATATATATATATATACATATTATATACATATAATATGTATATATATATATAATAAAATGCTAAATAAATAGTTATACATTTAGTAGAGAAGCAGTAATATTTGAAAGAGGGTATTTTAATAATTAAAAACTAATGAAAATCACAAGTTTTCAAATTTAAACATCCATTAGGAGAGAATACTGCTTCAAAATTAAAAACAAAAAAATCAAGCAACAGTACTAATTGTAAAGACTAAAAATACCAAAACACGTAATTTACCCTCTGTATCAAAGAGTATTTCACTAAAATAACAACTTTAGAAATACCTAAAATACTATTATAGACTTGTATTTCAAAAAAATAAGCTGGCATTTAAATGTTTCATGTTTCATAATCATGACTAATTTAGTATTTTGAAAATATATCTATGAAGGAAAATAGCAAGTTATTTCAATACTGCATATTTGAGTCACAAAATTTTCATCTGCAAACTAGCTAAATATAATCTACATTTTAAATGTTATCCCTATGAATAAAAACAAGCGTTAAATTCATGTTCAAACAGTAGACAACAATTGCTCATTAAGGAATAACACTGTGAGTTGCTGACCTGTACAATTATTTAACTACCGGCATTCAAAACAAAACAGATTGAAGTGTGTGCTTTCTTGATGACTATGTTAACAGTACACATCTAAGCTCTTAAAGTGCCAACATGTCTCTAATCCTATATAATAAAGAGGTAATATGCAAATTGACCATCACACCCTTGCACAAGATGGCCGCCCCCATGTGGTCACAAGGTGGCTGCACCTATGTCATCACAAGATGGCCGGAAGGGGAGGGCAGTTGGGAAGGACCAGACCTGCAGAGGAGGGCAGTTAGGGGCACCCAGGCCAGCAGGGGAGGGAAGTTGGGGGCAACTGGGCCGGCAGGGGAGTGGTTAGGGGGTGATCAGGCTGGCAGGCAAAAGTGGTTAGGGGCAATCAGGCAGGCAGGCAGGCAAGCGGTTGGGAGCCAGCAGTCCCAGATTGGGAGAGGGATGCCCGACTGCCAGTCTAAGCCTGATCCCTGTGGGCCTAAACCGCAGTTGGACATCCTCCAAGGGGTCCCAGATTGGAAAGGGTGCAGACTGGGCGGAGACATACACACACACACACACACACACACACACACACAGAGCACAAATTTTGTGCACTGGGCCTTTAGTTTAAGATAAATGACTAACCGAAGTGGAGTTAAACCATGAATTTATAAAAGCATTTTAGTTAAAATATCAGATGTTGGAGAAGAGGTGCATTGTTCTTTTCTCTTCAAAAAAAAAAATGAGTAAAATAAGTAGTGGCTTCAACTTATTAGTTTTGGAAATAATAATTAGCATACCCCACAGAGATCCATTTGAAAAACTTTAGAATTTCTGCATTGTTGCTAATACCATGCCAGCGGGTACATCCTTTTCCTTTAGAAGACCTGGCAGATAGATAATTTTTATGCTAGAGAGATTCCCCATGAAAACTCATGGGCATGACATAAAAGATCCTTAGAACCTCAGGTTCCAATCCTGGCCCTGGTCCCTGAACCTTCCTCTCGCATCTAACCTTGGCAGGTCTCTCACCTGGTTATACTGTTTCATGCCTCCCTCCCACCTTGCCTGTTCTAATTTTTTTCCCCTAGAAGGCCCTCCCCAGGAGGAATTTATGGGAAATTGCTATAAATGCCTCAAAGCTCGGTTTCACGATCCTTCCCCTGTGATGCCTAAATTCCATGGTCCATCACCCCACCTCCGCGAAACACTTCATCTTCATCAAAACATAGCATTTTTTCTTTAAAATATTTTCTTCTTGCCCTGTTCGGTTTGGCTCAGTTGATAGAGACTCAGCCTGGGGACCGAAGGGTCCCAGGTTTCATTCCATTCAAGGGCACATGCCCGGGTTGCAGGCTCGATCTTCAGTAGGGGGCATGCAGGAGGCAGCTGATCAAATATTCTCTCTCATGATGTTTCTATCTCTCTCTCCTCCCTTCCTCTCTGAAATCCATAAAAATATATTTTTCTTTTCTTATTATTAGTCTCTGAGTTCTTAGTCATATTTGTATCCCCAGTGATAAACACGGGGCTCAATAAATATGGATTAAATCAATCATTGGCAAAATTAAACAAATACATGCCTGGAGATCAAGTCTATATTAACTTGCTATTAGAAGAATGAGATATTTTGTGTGTTTACTATGAATAGTCAGGACATATGCTTTTCATAAACACTCTTATTTAATCCTTAGGACACTCCTCTAAGAAAATATCAAAGTTCTCATTTACAGACAGAAAACTCAGCTACAGAGGTCTGTGGCCTTCCCAAGTTTGTACAGCACTGTATTTGAGAGCATAAGTTAGCACCATCAGTAACTTTGTGTGAGACCTTGGACCTCACCTCTCTGAGCCTCGGTTTCTAAAGCTGTGCAACGGGCCCTGGGTGGTATAAGGCCCGAGAAATCATTTGGTCTGGCCCTGCCAAGGCATTAGGGGTGAGTTAATTAAATATTTGACCAAATATAGCAGGCTAATTTTTAAGTTAATGATTTTGCATGGCCCGTAAATGATGTTATAAATATCCAAATGGCCCTTGGCAGAAAAACGGTTCTCCACCCCTGCCCTAGTGGATAGTGGTGAAGATTAAATGGGGCATGGAGTACAAGGTGCCCAAACGCTATCTCTGTTACGTGGCAAGCTCTCAACCAAGACAAACAAACTACTATTACTTCTTACCAAAACACACAAAAGGATAGATGTTATTTTATAAAAAGCAGCCAAAGGCCAAATAGTCATACTTGAATATTTTATGTTATAATATAGGCACACTTCACTTTATTGTGTTTCACTTTACTGTATTTGACAGAATTTGCATTTTCTTGCAAATTGAAGGTAAGTCCCTCAGCCAGCAAAAAGATTATGACTCATTGAAGGCTCAGATGATGGATAGCATTTTTTAGCAATAAAGTATTTTTGAATTAAGATATGTAATGGGTTGTTTAGACAAAATGCTACTGCACACTTAATAGACTACAGTATAGCTTAAACATGACTTTTATATGCAGTGGGGAACCAAAAAATATGTGTGGCTTGCTTTATTGTGATAATTGATGTATTATAGTGGTCTGGATCCAAACCCTCCATATCTCCAAAGTATGCCTGTATTGGACTTAAAAAGGTATTAGGTTGGCCTTTAACAAAATATTAGCATAGTTCTAAAATAATACATCATCCACAGAGTTAAAATTAGCTGAAAAAAAATATCTGGAAATTTTTAACCTAAAAAAAGGTCATTTATGAGACAGAATGTATTAAGCAAAGTAGAAATTATCCATTAGTTATTAACCATGTCAGGAAAATAACTTCAAGTAATTTTAAAGTAATATATAACACACATATAATATTGAACTTTATAGTCACTGGTAAAGTGTTTACAACCAGAAGATACCCTAATAAAATCTGGGGCATTGAACATAATTTGACATAAAACAAACAACAATACATCATATGCATCCTATTACCAGAAGAGGAGCGGTATTATTTACCAAGCACTGACATATATATGAGCACAGCACACCTTGTGACTAAGAACGACTGAGTGGGAGGATTACTAATGAAGATCCCAAGGTCCAGTCAGGAAATGAGCAAGCATGAAACCTGACCCTGAACCCAGAGCTTCAGACTGTAAGTCTGGAGTGTTCTTTCAACTACTTCCAGTTCCTGCCACATGGTCACCATATCACAATAAACAGTCAGAAATAAAAAGAACAAGGCAATTTTTACGTGCATCACAACTGCATTGAAAAGTGGGACCTCATGGACAGCCTGAAAATTCAGTTAGGAAAAGGGTTCTAAAGAGCATAACATGGAGAGTGCAGGTCTTAAATGTCAGTAAAGCACCTACTGCAATATCAGACAATAAGAGCATTTTGAACTCATCTGATTGTATCTTAAAAAGGCCCTGCCCAAAAAGTCTACCCCTGTGCCCTTAACTTATTGAGGCTCAGTCACCTTGGCTCCCGATCCTTCACCTCGGCGATGATGGCACCCCAACGTTGGTTTAAACCTGCCAGCTTGTCTTTTAAGAAGCTCCCATCTGTGGGGGGGAGTCTCTGGACAATCCCGTCCCCAGTTCTGTTTAGTGCTGCAAAACTGGGCTGGTGGCTGCTGATCCCCTCTTCAAGTTCCTACAACAGAGTACAACCCAAGATGAATTCTGCCATTAAATTAAGATGTTCTGATGCAAGGGATCTCCCAGGTTCCCAGGCATTAATTTAAGTTTTAGAGGAATAAAGTCCTGGGGGGGATACATTACGTTCATGAAAAAGGCATTTAAAAACACTTTCATTAAATTTCAATAAACACACTAAACAAAATCCATTTTGAAATCTCACCCACGGTTGTGAATGTCATACAGTGAAACAGGATAGATAAATAACATAAAATAAATAGCAGCTGTTTTCAACTGAAGCATAAGCATCAATCAGGTTTGATTAAATTGGATTGCTTATCTTTTTCCAAATATGTGCTTGAAAGCATCTCTCAAAAGGAAAAGTAAACCCATATGCCCTTATGTCCTACCACATATAGGTAAACCTCAATGTGCATTTTCTGGAGACATTGCTTCACTGGTCTCTAAATTTTTAAGCAACAGATTTAAAGGGAATATTTTAAAGTTAAGTTTAAGCACTCATCTATATCTCTAAAACTAAGAAAAATGCATTAACATGTACATGAGAAAAATAAATGTATTTGTTAATGCCTCATGCACCTTCTACATAAAATACATTTTTAAAATATAATAAAAGAGAAATATTTTAACAATGGTAAATTGAAATTTTGCTTGCTTTTCGACCATATTTTCAAAGACCTACTGTTATTAGCAGACCTGATTTTGCTACTGTTATATTTTCCAAAACTGAATTAGACTTACATGAGCAGCTGCCCTGATGTAGCTCATGAATAATTTACTTTTATAATAATTATCAATAATACAAAGTGGAAATAAGATGCCTAAGTGTTAAGTACAGAAAACAGGTAAGGCATGCTGATATCTTTCTGCCTTAGTCTTGGGTACAAAATTTTACAAATGTTATTCTAAATATAATTTTAAAAAAATATTTTTATTGATTTCAGAGAGGGAGGGAGAAGCAGAGAGAGAAAGAAGCATCAATGATGAGAGAGAATCATTGATTGACTGCCTCCTGCATGCCCCACACCGGGGATCCAGCCTGCAACCCAGGCATGTGCCCTGACTGGGAATTGAACCGTTCATAAGTCGACCCTCAATCACTGAGCCACACTGGCCGGGCATAAATATAAAAATTTTTAATAATTTTTTTTTTCATATTAGCCACTAACGAGTATTTTTAATTAAATTTCACTAAAATCTTAATTAAAAATGTAAATAATGTTTCTTAAGCCTTTATGACCAAAAAACTAGATGTGGAACAAAAATTACAGGTTGTAATATGCCTAAAAATTCATATATTCAGCTCTAACTTTCGAAATACATCTTAAATGCCACATACTAAAAGAATACTGCCCAGCCGGCGTGGCTCAGTGGTTCAGCATCGACCTATGAACCAGGAGGTCACGGTTCGATGATTTCTGAACAGGGCACATGCCAGGGTCTCGTGCTCAAAGCCCCAGTGGGGGGCATGCAGGAGGCAGCTGATCAATGATTCTCTCACATCATTGATGTTTCTCTCTCTTTCTCCCTTTCCCTTCCTCTCTGAAATTAAAAAAAAAAAAAAAAAAAAAAAAAAAAGGAATATGGCACCTTCTTAGCAGATCTGCATCCTGTGATGGAGAGCACTCACCTGCTGGTGGACCCTGGCTTTCTCTAGGTCTAGGCCACCATCTGGAGCCACCGTGTCAGCCAGTAACATTTCAACTTCAGTTGTCCACTGGGTGAGGTCATTAAGGTCACAGTGGAACTGTCTCCATTCTTCCATAGCCCTGTCAAAATAACTAGAGGACAAAAATTAACATAAAATAGGTTTCCAAACTTTCCAGAACTGCTTTGAAGCAATTTTTCTAAACAAATTCAAATCTCATTTAAACAGAATGCTCCAAAATCAGCGAATTCACAGCTCACTGCTCTAGGATCAGTTTTCATAATGGATTACTGTTAATGATTCCTTTTAGAGAAACATGTATTGTACCTAGAGATCAGCACAAGCACCATCCTACCCACTTTCTCTCACACACACGCCTGCGCACATACACCCGCATACTAGGCAGCTTGTTAACTGAAAAGCTAGCCTTCTCCACTTGGAAAATCAAGATGGATTAGCTGCAGGCAGTTAACCCACCCAACTTTAAACACTTCACATTTCAAATGCCATGAAATGTCAAATATGATGAGTTACTCTATTCTCTTTGGAAAAAATTGTGGTGTTTTATTTCTCAGGTAGAACAAAATGCCAAAACACTTCAAAATTTCCTTTCTCTCCCTTATTCTCTGTGTGATGGACTGAATTGTGACCCCAAAACTCATGTGTTGGAGCCCTAACCCCCAAAGTGACTATTTAGAGATAGGGCCTTCAAGGAAGGTAACTTTTAAAATGAGGTCATAAGTGTGGGGCCCTAATCCCACACAACTGGTGTCCTAATAAGAAGAGGAAGAGACACCAGAGATCTCTTTTTGTGTCCGAGAGAGAAGAGAAAAGGCAATGAAGGACACAGGGAGAATGTGGCCATCTGCAAGCCAGTAAGAGAGGCCTCAACACAAACTAACCCTGCTGGAACCTTGATCTTGGAGTTACAGCCTCCAGAACTGAGAGACAATAAATGTATGTTGAGTAAGCCACCCAACCTGCGGTCTTATTAAGGTAGCTCTAGCAGACTAACACCCTCTGTGCAATGACTAATCCACAGTACAGTATGAAAGTGCCTGCAAAGCCCAGGTTAGGCAATGAGACAAAGGACTACTGAGTTGCCCATTTAATCCTCTCCTTCAGAAATAAGATAAAGTCAAAGTCCAGTGCTAGTCGTATTTGGAACATATAAAATAAGTATGAAGAAGTTTAAGTTTTACTGCAGTCAGATTCTAAACACTTTCCTTTTGCCTTTTCATTTCCATAAGTGGTGCTGGGAAAGCTTAGAAGATACCTCTGAGATTTTAATATTAATAAAATTTTACTTTCTATAATAAAAAGATATTACTATTTTAAAAAATAATAAAATGATCCCTGACATCTCTAACTCTAAAATAATGTTTATTTTTCCTTCTCCCATGAACATCATTTTGAAAATGTAGTTAATATTTGTTAAGTGCCCACAGGGAAGCAACATTCTATTGGGCATGACAAAATTAAGAGCACTTCAAACAAAATACTATGAGAAAATATTAAAACAATCTTTATCGCCTTTGGTAAAAATGTGCAGTCACTAAATAACAACCACAAATTTCAACTTTGGGGATGTTGCAATAATAAAGAGAAAATGTTGCTAGAAAGGCTGCTCCAAAGATCTTAAGACTCTGAGAATATAAACAGTAAACCAAATAAATCTAAGCAGTATAGCCATAGATTAAATGAGAGAGAGAGAGAGAGAGAAATGTATAACTAGGATTCACTAAGTCATCACCTCCTTTCTGAATACGGTCAGTTCATATGGGAGGCAGTATGGAATTGTGAAGGTCTATGGACTCCCAGAGAGTCAAAGGACGCAAAGTCCAAGTCTTAATCTAGAAACATTCAAGTTTGCTTTCTCTGATCTTTTAACTGGCATTGATATCTCTCCCCCAAAACATTCGCCACCTAAGTTCCTGGTCTCTGACAACGTTACCATCGCCTACCTGGGTCTCTAGGCTTGATACTGAAGAGTCAGTATATAGAACCACCCACCTACAGCCTTAACACAAAACATATTTAAAACAAAATTCAGGTGGCTTAGTTATTAAATGTTAATTTTAAATCAAACAAAATTGTTTTTAAATGATACATAAATATTTAACTAATATCACACAAAAAGTAATTTGCATGCATATAAACAAACCAAAATCACAAAGGAAAAAGACTCATAAAATATAATTATATAAAATTAAACCTATACATCAAAAAAATACCATTAACAAAATTAGATGGCATATGAAAAGTTGGGACTAAGCAATAAACAAGAAATATGAATAGGTAATATCCTTAATGTAGAAAAAAGCTCTTACAAATTAATCAGTAAATAGTAATCCCATAATAGAAAAATGAGCAAAGACATGACCTAACAATTGACAGAAGAAATAACACTGGGGCCAATAAATATGTGTAAGGATACTGAAATGTCGCTGATAAAGAAGTGAAAATCTAATGAGATGAAATCTTCACTATACAATTGGCAACCAACCTTTCATTGTTAACAAGGGTTCAGTTAACTTTCATATATACTGTTGGCAGGAGTATAATAACCAATCTCATATTGCAACACAGAGCCTTAAAATGTTATTACTTTTAAGACTTTAATCTTTATCTAATAAACAAATGTAATTAAATTGAAGTATGCATAAAGGTATACTTAAAACGATAGTCTCTAAATATATACAGCTGAATTTAAAAATCCATACAAAGAAATATACCAAAAGGCCACTGAAAGTTATCTTTTCAAGGATTATATAATTACATAGAATATGTGGGCTAAAACAAAACAAAACAAAAAAGATGAAGACCATGATGCTTAATTTTTGTGTATATGTCTCTAAAGTTTTCCAATGTATTTTTGTGTGTTAACTTTCTCTTACATGGTACTTTATATTGGGCTATTTCACATCTTACTTGCCTATCTGCCTTTCTACTACATACACAGTTACTGCCAAAAATCATCTCATTTTTTTTATTTCCACCTATTAATAGGCCTGGTCAAAATCTAGAATCATTTTATTTAACAGGTTATTTTTAAAGAGTTTGTGGTTATATATGGATTCCAATTATCTGTACCTGTCTCTCGCTCACATTAATCATCAATATGTTGGGAAAGTGAACATTAATGAAAACTCTTAAATTATTTTAAAGAAAATGGACACTATTTAGATATTAAAAATTAAAGGTGCTTCCTTTAATTATTAAGATATTATGTTGCAAATGATCGCCTGTATGTAATATCTTTCCTCTTTCTTTAAGGAACTACACTCATCACAATTTATTAAACAGGGCCTCTTCCAGGGATGTGAAACATACTCTCGTTAATCTTAATGTAATGTGACCTTTGGCATGGCTCATGAGCTTATAGGGTTTTTTTAAATTAAACTTTAACTTAATTTATACATACCCTTTACGATCATTGTACATTCTATTAATTCTGTCCCATTTTGCATCCAATTGAGTCAGTGTATCCCGAATCTGAATGACTTCAGGTACAGAAGCTTCGAGGATAACATCTGGTTGTTCCTCGTGAATGACTGCGATCTGCTCTCCAAGTTTGTCCAGTTGGTCTTTGATATTCTACAAATATATTGCCAAAACAGTCACAAAATCCAGCAAAGAGATAAAAAGAATGAAATCACAGGTGAAATGTATATGGTATAATACTTATTTAATAGATAATGAGATATAATAATTTTTGCTAATTAAAACTGGAAACTTAAAAAAAAAATACCCTGTATTGACCAAAGTGTTAGGAACACTACATGATACCCCAATGGTGAGAAAAAATCCTAACATATGTTCCATGTGGCATTTGTCCAGATATTTAAAAAATTCAATAATATTCTATAAAGGTAATGAAGTATTTGAAGCTAAAATCATTTATATTTTCATATATATAATAATGCTAGTTTAAATGACAGAAATGAGCTGTCAATCAAAGCCATCAAATCTATCAGCAATTTTATTGTGACCTTATAGCCTATATAATAAAAGGCTAATTTTGAAATAGACAAAACAGTGGAATGACCGGTCACTATAATGCACACTGACCACCAGGGGGCAGATGCTCAATGGTGGTCAGTGCACTCCCACAGGAGGAGCACTACTCAGCCAGAAGCCCTGAGCCGTGCTCAAGATTGGCAAGTGCAACGGCAGTGGCAGGAGCCTGCCTCTCCCACCTCTGCAGCAGCACTAAGGATGTCCAAGGGCTCCCAAACGGCGAGAGGGAGCAGGCCGGGCTGAGATAATCCACCTAAGTGCATGATTTTGTGGACTGGGCCTCTAATATAAGTATAATCAGATTATATGAACAAGGCTTAATGATATTTAATAGTTTTGTGAGTTAACTGAAAACTTCTAGATCTCTAATTAACTTACAATCAACATGCCATCCCATAGCCCAACCATTGGTCAATGTTAAATCATTATAGGTGGCAAGATTAATGCTGACATTTCATATCCAACTGTCAGTCCAGTTTATAAGAAAGCAATATGTTTTGTGCAGGTGTTTGATTAAAAAACATCTCTGATGATGGGAAGAAGTAACTGCATACTAACAATCCATATCTACTTTTAAAAAATAAATTTTTAGAGCATTTCCTTGGTGAATATAGGAAAGGTTTATTATTCATACACATTATTAATTCCTTGGCCTAAGTTTTAAAAGCTACAGATCATCTAGGTAGGCACAATGACAAATTCCTTGCATTATTTCTACATTAACTGCAGCTATTCCAATGCCCTGCCTGGAGATTTACCTTCAGAGCATCTTCCTGAAAAGAGAAGTCTTCATACACAGCAGTGCTTAGCTCTGGAGTATTAAGTGATAATTCAGCATCATCCATAGAAAGTAAAACCTTGTTAATTTCAACCAAATAATCTGGAGGGAGAAGTGATGATTTAATTCCGGAAGCTAGTTGGCTTGTTCTCCTCTGTTGAATAGGAATTGCCTGTAAAATCATTTAAAATAATAATGTACATCTCTTAAAATATCCCCACAAAGAATTGAAAAAAGCACAAGACTATTTTGTGGAGAAGTACAATACTCAGAACCAAATTTTTTAAAACTATGTTTTGATTTTTTATATTTTTGCCCTGCTTTGCTATATAAACCCTTAACAATCTCTATTCTAATTTTTGTTTGCAGCCTACTCTTAAACAGAAATGTTTCACTTTAAGACCAATGCCACCTAAACTCAATTAGCAAACAGGAAAGCATAACAGGTTCTTTCCGGAGTTACTGAGGACAGGAGAATATGCTGCAAATCATAAACTTCCATATGAAATAAAACATTTTAATACCATTATGATTTCAGCCATTTTTAAAATCTCACAATTATATTAAAGACCTCGGGGCCTTACTGTTAAAAATGTAACTAAGTTAAATATGTATTTATAACATAACAAGAAATTCAATGTAAAATAACATACAGGTTATTCAATATATAATCTTAACCTTGGAGAACAATATTACAGAGCATGAATAGCCTACATAAGACAATAATAGGTCCTCAGACAAAACTAAGCTAAACTGAGTGGACTACTTATCGGCCCTAATTTCTGTGTCCTCTAATCAGAACTTTCAAAATAACAAAGGGGATGGTTCACTCACTAGTCCTTTAGGAGTTGAAGTATTTTATGTGTAGATGGGTACAATTTAATAAATACTGGCTACTACTTGCAAATAGCCACAGTTCATCTACTCATGAATTAAGATAGTTTCATAGTTTCACTGTACCCCTATTTGAACTTCATGCTCTGTAAATTAAAAATTATAGTCAAATGATCACAAATACATGTTCACTGAGTTAGTGACCCTGAAAATGGATACAATTCCTAAATGAAGCCGAAACTCAAGGCTAAAATCATGGAGTCAATAACAAGATGTTTAACCTAGAGTTCTGCATTTACTTGTAACAAGAACAGGCCTCTGGGGAACACCAGCACATTTACAATGTGGCTGGGTATGTGGCCATTGGAAAGGGAGCTGGTAGTGAAGCTTTTCTAGAATATAAAGCATAGTTTATCAACTTCACAAATTTGGTTATTTGTAAATTAGAAATTTTTTTGACATGGTCAGGCCTCTCCACATGAACTATGAATCCGAAGGAGGAATCTACTCTAAAAGAAAAAGGTTCCTTCTAAGATTTAGTACATTATCAGAAATCCAACAGAGATGCCCAATAATAAGGTTTTATGTTCCTATTTTCTTTGACTCTTGCCCCACCTAAAAGTATAAACATGTTTAGCAATGCACACCAGAAAGGAGAAGGAGACAATATCCCAAATGGTGTGTTTTGAGGTGTCCACGAATGCAACATCAAACATCTGAATGACAAGGGCTGAGTTATTTCAGTGGAACAGACACTCCCCATGACAATACCTTCATTTTGTTGTATCTTGTGTGCAAAAGTAATAACTGCAAACGGATCTTTTCTTTTTTATTATCCTCCATAGGTTGATGTAACATTTGTTCTCCTCTTTGTAGAACTTCCTCAATTTGGGCTCTTTCCTCATCCATCTGAATGGTTAGAAAGAAAAAATTTACTCAAAAAAAAATAATGCATCATATAGGGTCACTTACCATCAGTTCCCAAAGAGGAAAACTAACCTACAAAATATAACTCAAGATATGTTCATCTAAATTATATACAACAAAGTCATGTTTTTCTTAAAATATTTCCTATTTGATGTTAAAAAAAGAATACTAGCTAGTTTAGCATTAAGATAACATTATTTTTAGTCAGAAAGTGTGATGTCTATTTTTTTAAGCATTACATAAATCAATTATATTGACACATCAGAAAATCATTTTTGGACTGTTCTATCATGTTTGGCAGATATTTGGGTAAACAATATTGGTGTAAAACTATAATTAACAGAGAATAAAAATAAGAACATTAAAGTTTGAAAAATTCTGAACCAACCTTTTCATCTTCATTACTGGATTCCAAGGGCTTTTCCACAACTTTTAACATATATTCTATGTCACTTTCTAATTTTTCCAAGTCAGAGAAAGGCACATCAGCCTCAACTGCTTCAGTGGTGACCAGAGATTGGTATGATACTGGTTCCTGGCCAATTAGCAGCTGTGGAAGGGAAATTATTCTTTAAAAAGATATTCTTCATTTGACTTTCTGTCATTAATGAGAGGGATGGAATGTCAGAAAAGGAATCAGCATTTATTTGAATTCACTTTAATTTCACTCATTTACAGCAATGATTTTACCAATTTGAGCTTCTCTGAATTACCCATTTTCTCCAACCTCATAGCAAGGGATGTGAAGTAGTGTGCAAATGGCTGTGGCTGCCTCGAATGCTGTTTGGAGGATTCTGAGACCACATATGAGACAGTAGGAAACAGTGCCATAATCCAAAAGCCATCCCTGCCATGGCCACAGACCAAGAGAAAGGCCACCACCTAGTACAGGTATGTCCCACAGAAAGTCTCCTGTTACCTTTCGCCAGCAGACGTGCCCCTGGAGTAGGACAGCCAAACTTCGGCGAAGTCCAAATTTCTCAAGGACAAATGCTCCATTCAAAGACAAATTTACTTTTAAAAATTTACTTTTAAAATTATTTACTTGTACCACATAGTTATCTATAATTTAGATGCATAATTATATGAAAAATAGCCTTATATAAAAATATCATTACTCACGTTGGCACTTTCGATGTGCTGAGACACCTTTTCAAAGTTTCTATTCAGTTCAGCTAATTTGGGCTCTACAAGTTCCCTACGTGAGCCTCCACGAGCATTCATCAAAACAACGGCTTGATCGCGAACATCCTCAACTTGCAGTCTGGCATCATCCAGCTCAGAGAATAAACGCTAGTTGTAAGAAAACACACATTATCACATGGGGAAAATCAAAACCAAACACGGGTGTGACATTAACTCAGTGTTAAAGGCAGTTTAAATAAATGTCTGGGATTCCTAAGAAGAGATTTTAATACAATCAACTTGCGTAAGAGCTGTTCATATATTAAGACTCATTCAAGACTTCAGGTCCTCCCACCAAAAATACACATTGATGAATGGGAGAATGTGTGCACAGGCAACTTGGCACATTCCACAAGAGAAAGACTACAGCGAAACCTTCCACCCCAAGAAGTACGACTGCTCCTCTTTCGCTACCTTCACAATTTCTTCCTGTTTACTTGCTGGTTTTTTTTCAATCTCATCCAATAGGGCTTCAGCTTGATAAAGCCAGGTACTTATATGAGCAACATTTCCATCAAATAGCTCCAGCTGGTTCTGATGGCTCTGGAAGGGAATTAATAAAGTGTTGATACAACCATATGAAATATTTAACATGCTAATCTTCAAAGAGCTTTAAAAAGCCTCCAAAGAGCTTGTTATATGCTGAATTTAAAGGGTTTCCACCTTACTGAAAGTTTCCTTTTCAATCTCATTTTATTTGCCTCCCTTATTCTTCATTCTTACATTGCAAATAATCTCATTTGCCTCCTTGATCATATCTGTTTAAAACTCATTTAAGAAAGTAATAACATAAAAGAATGATTAAAATATGGAATGAATAAGCATCTGCTGTTCAATAGACTAACATCTTAGAGGGCAGGTCCTGTGTCTTTTCACTGCGGTGTCACCAGCACTTAATATCACATCTGGCACAGACCTCACTCAGTACTATTACCTGAAGCAGGATATAAAATGTGATCGAGCAAATAAATCCAAAAACAAAATCAAACTTATTAAGCTGAATAAACTGGCAAAATTGCTGGCACTAAGGTGAGAATTTAGAACTTGATCAAAAAGGGGTGGAAAATACCACATGAACTCACTAATTTATAGATAATAAAGAACATTATAACCTAATGAACAAAAAGATAGATACAGAGGCAGAGAAGCATCGAACAGACTGTCAAATTACAGCAGGAAGGCTGGGGTGTGTTGCGGGGGTGGGTAAGAGATTAATCGAAGGACTTATATGCATGCATATAAGCATAATCAATGGACACAAGACACTGGAGGGGTGGTAAGGGCAAAATGGGCACAAGACACTGTGGGGTAGGGGAGGCTAGGGGAAGGTCAAGGGGGAAAAAGGAGACATATGTACTACTCTCATTTACCCCCTTGATCATATTTGTTTAAATTTGATTATATTTGTAATACTTTAAATAAGAAAATAAAATTTTTTTAAAAAAGGGGGGTGGAGACATAGATAAAATTAACTTTTAGAAACTGTTTATAGGATAAATGAAACTGTAATAAATTTATAAAAAGTGTTTAGACGACAAGGAAACAAATTATTAACCTATAACATAGAAAAACAGTTGAAAAATAAAATGAGAACTAGTAACGACATGAGAAATGTTTTGGCAGTGTTCTGCATTTTAAGTAAGAAGAATTGATAAGCACCAGACTTATTTGCCCCAATAAAGCAAGTAAATCAATATTCTAACAGGACTAGGAAGACACTACTTGAAAAGAGAATTGGAAGGTACAGACTGAAAAATACAGAAGGGTTATGAGAATGTGGATAAAGATATATATAATTTAGTGAACATATTCTATTACCCAAGAATTTCACATTTGATACTTTTTTAGTATGTTCTTTTATTCCCATTTTTATATAGGAAAATTAAAGCAGATAATAAATTATGGGTAAACTCTGGACTTGAATCTCACAGATCACAATGTAAGTTCATGACCTTCAATGCTCTACATATTCTAACTGATTTAAATAAATGCTCAAACACACAATAATTTATTTTGTCTCTATCCACTACCTAATAATTCTTTGAATTTTGGAATAGTCCTATATATGATATGTCAGAACAAAATACTAATTTCTACTAATAATATTTATTGTTAATAGAAGAGGAACATTAGATGGTAACTATATCCATGAAGTAATTAATAGTATAGTGGTATAACCAAAGACTAACAACATATAACACTAAACAATTATCATAATCATCATAATCATTATACTAAAATCTAAAATTGGTTATTTTAGGCATAGTTATATAAGAGCACTACATGTTTTATGTCACATAATCATCACAAAAACTGTACGAGGTGTATGAGGTAGAAATAATAATGCCCATTTTATATATGAGAAAACTAAGACTTAGAGAGCATTTAAATACCTTGACCAATGTCACCCAACTAGTCAAAGTTTCACTTAGGCCATCAGATGCCAGAGCCTGTGCTCTTAACTAGTACACTATTATTAGAAATTAGAGGCCCAATGCGAGACACTTGTGAATGGGGGTGGGGGGTTGGGGAAACGCCTCAGCCCGGCCTGTGCCCTTTAGCAGTCCAGGAGCCCTCGGGGGCTCACACCACTGCCATCAGCCCGGCTTATGGCTGAGTGGCACTCCCCTTGTGGTCATTGCGCATCATAGTGACCGGTTGTTCCACCGTTCAGTCAATTTGCATATTACCCTTTTACTATATAGAATTATTAATAATATATAGTTTATGATAATTAAATATAATAATAAATCATTAAAATGTAACAAATAAGTACATTTACTAAGATATTAAAGTATATATTCCATGTATATCACAAATGGTTATTACCTAATAGAAATATTTCAAACTCTTTCTAGCTATTGTCTTTTTAAAGAAAAAAGTCAAATGTAATCTAATGAAATTAATTCACAAGCAAAACATTATTGTGACACAGAGAAAATAGAATTTGGAATTCTAATCAAAGTTGTATTCATTTTTAAACAATTAAAGGAGAGAAGATTTCCTCATTAACTTTTCCCAAAACATACCATTAAGGTATTGCACCAATCCTCAGTCCAGGTGCGCACTCTGCTCCACCCAGCGTTGAGGACACAAAGTCTCTCTTCTAAAACAGGCTCGCTGCCCTCGACCAAGTTCTGAAGGGCAGCACTACTCTCTGTGATGGTATTTAAATCAGCTTTTCTCTTTTCCAGATCCTTCAGAATATTCTAGAAAATAAAAATACCAAAACCCATTTGATCTTTCAGAACATGATAAAAGTTTATACAACCTTCCTTTAAAAAAAAAAAACAGAAAACTTTTCTTTCACATACTCCCTAGAAAGTTTAAAACTGCCAAAGGTTTACAAAACTCCGTAACTTACTAACATGTGAGAGTTCTGAAGATGCTAATAAAAATTGAAACATTTACTTATGCACATAACAGGAAATGTATTAAATTCAGGTATGAAAAAAGGTTATTTATTTATTTTAAGTATAAATTCCATGTATCATACACAAATACTAATTTATCTTCATCATAACTCCGGGTGTAAACAATCAATTTCACTTTCTGTAACTATAGCTGGTAAAGCAGAACTACCCCAGAACTCAGAATTCTAAAACTCATAATAAATGTATCTCCTTGGTTCCTACAGGAGACAATGGAGTACTATAGTTACTTGCAAGGACTGCATCCTATAACTAAATGGCCTAACATATAATTTCTTGTAAAAGCATTACAAAAGTATTTCATCTTAAGTAAACCATGAGAACTAGAACATCTAAGTTTTGGTCTTACAACTGTCATAATACTATGGATAGTATAATGACAACTTAATTCTCACGTTCATAAGATTCAATAGGTAAGGTGTATAGTCAGAGAGTTATAGAGCGAATATTGGATTCCAAAATTAAAACTACAATGTTCTTTCAATCATAAAGTGACATGTGCATATCTAACCTACTGCTGCTGGCATCTTTTTAAACCAACATTAAAACAAATTCTTTAAAGGAGCACGAGTCTATATTTAATCTCACATCATTAAATCACATTTTGGAAAGCATAAAAATTTCAAATTTTTGTAAGATTGTCTTTTACAATCTTAATCTGAAAAATTAATTGAATTTATATGTGTACAAAGATGAATGAATAAAAATTAAATATGCAAAAATGTTATATGTACCAGCTATAAGCAATTAATAAAAAAGAGAAAAGGCATGCTTTTTAAAGTATGTAAAATAAATAAGTATAAACTAACATGTGTGTGTGTGTGTCTATGAAGAATAAACAAAG